CAGGCTGTGCCCCTATCCCCTGAAATGTGGAAGGGTCGAATGTACAAACTTGTGTGTGATTTACGGTTTGTTATGTGCGTTTCTCACAGCAAACCAGACAAACACACACACACACGGGAGCTGGTTACCATAGCGACATCTTATGGCTGGCGGCTCTACAGAGAGAGAGAGCCGAAAGGTACGGATAGAGCAGAGGAGGGAGAAAGTGAGAACACCTATAGCTGGCGTGCGGTTAGCGAGGACTCAGGCGCATGATGAGTGGGCGTGCCGTGATTAATGTCGGGGTCACCTGGCTCAGTCTGGTCGAGGACGACGGCAGCAAGGGTCTACAGAACTTCTTCATGGAGCCGATGGCAGCGGGAAAGGCGGGGGCTGAGAACAGCGCCGCCACCAAGTTAATGCGCAAAATCCACGACATCATCTCCTCTTCGCTCCTAACGCAAGTGAGAGAGCAGAGAGGTCTTTACACCTTTGCCACTGATACATAGAACATCACCAAAGAGCAGCCCGCAGACCCCATCCCCCAGGGCTCAGTGCTGCCTTATTAAATGCGACCTTTTCATTTTGTGTCAGTGTACGTCGTGTACTGGAGCCTTACGGGGCCTGGAACAGAAACACTCTCCAGTCCGAGGTCTTGAGTTTGAGCACGTTGGGCTTCTTGCTGTAGTCGCTGGCTCTGGTGGCGAGGGCGTGGTGAATCCGTACTGCGTTTTTCAGATCGACCTCAGACAGATCCTTGTCTGGTTTGTACTCATCCTGTCCACAAGGGGGAGACAGACTCCTTTAAACGTGACTATAAATTTAGTTTTCTGTACCTTTTTTCTAATTACCAGACACTTTTGTTCAAAGCAAAGCACTAGGGAGGTAAATCATACATTACAAACATAACAATATGCTAAATAATCCTGCTTGGATTATGTGGTTATAATAGGTACCTTCTGCAGGTAGAGGATCGTGCCTTTTAGCACAGCGTAGAACTTCTTCCAGCCTCTGCGACCTCTTGGAGCTGAAAGTGGACATGTGTAGAGTGGTTATGCCCCCCCAGCCCTTACTGACCCCACCCACGTCGCCCAGATGCGGCCCCCCTTACTGCCCCTGCCGCCCCCTGACGTGGCCTCCCCTTACTGCCCCGGCTGCGGCTCCCCCTTACTGCCCTTGCCGCCCCAGACGCGGCCCCCCCTTACTGCCCCCTGCCGCCCCAGACGCGGCCCCCACTTACTGCGCTTGCCGTCCATGTCGGCGTGGCTCTTGCGGGTCAGGACACCGTGCTTGTAGGTGATGGCGTTCAGGAGGAGCGGGATGGCGATGAAAGGGTTGTTGCCATCTGTGACCCGTGCCACCCGCTTACCTCCGCAGTCACACTGCTCCTCCACCAGCTCAGACAGGGACTTCCGCAGCTCCTCTTCTTCACTGTAATCACGCATGCACATTCATTTCCATGTACAGTATAGGAAGTGGCATGTGTTTCCTGTATCTCAGATACCCTAGAACAGTGTTTCCTAACCAATAGTGACTATAAACTAATCTGTTAAAATGTTACAGTAAAATGAATCCTATGTATTGTACGATATTACCAGTCTGCAGTAATAGACTTATAGAAGGTATTGAATTCCACAGAGTAGCTGCTCTGATCAAACCAAACCTAGTAATCCTAAACTTCATAAAACAGCACCCTCTAGTGGGGCAGGGGTGCAATACTGAAAAAGTATTGAATGGTACTCACATTGCCCACTCCAGTTTTTCATTCTTTATTGAACTGTACAGGACCTATGAAAACACGAGGCAAATGACATCAGATCCACATGCTGCTCTCAGTTACTCTGTCTGCCCTGTGCCTCAGATAGAGCTCCAGGGTGACCCTGCCATACATACAGAGACCAGGATAGAGATGTATTCTCACCTCACCCAGAAACCACGCATCCTATAATACCAGAACTCAGGGGAAACATATACATACTGTGGCACACTGACATCCTGGGGATCAATTATGAGAACAGTACAGAGACTCTTATCTCACACTCTTCTAACCACTTGTGAAGAAAGAAAAAGAAAAGCTTAACTTAAAGACAGTGATACCACATGAACCATTTGCTGTTTTATTTGACCCCACTAGATGGTGCTCTTGGTTGCTTTCGGGCATGTGTTGAGCTCTTTTTCGAACAGAGAGCACCATCTAGTGGGGTCAAAAAAACACAGCAAATGTTTCATGAAGCATAATTTTGGCCATCACCACTTAAAAATAATTATCTTAGATGCCCATGTCACAAAGTATGCAGGGCTTGGTTTTAAGGGGAAATTTAATCACTGAATTTATTCTAATTTATTGTAGCAGAAATCTGTGGAAAATGCTTATTTTTCTTTCGTGATTTTACAGCATGGTCTGAAGCCAGGAGCTGGCATTTTTACTGTATGGTATGTACTGAGAGCATTAAACCTCAACTACACAACCCATTTACAGTCTCATTATGTTGAGGGAAGGAAACAGCAGAAATCGGTAGGGCAGGGGTGACCAAGCTTATCCAAAAAGGTTTTTGCTGCAACTCCGTAATTAGATTACTAATTAGAGGACTGATTGGATGAAGATTCCTCAGACCTGGGTTTGAACTGCTGCCCTAAAGGTGACCCCAAAAACCTGCATACACACCGGCCCTTTGAGGATAAGACTGATCACCTCTGGGGTAGGGGGACCATCTCTCTGTAAATATCAGAATTTAGGGGAACATCTATCGACTGGGGACAATCAGGAATGCATTTTTTTACACTGATCAACAAAAAAATGGTTCTTTAATGTCAAAGAGAAATCAGATCTCTACGTGATATAATAACAAATGTAAAACGAAAATAAATGTCACAATTTAGTACAGTCACTCCTGGCACAAGCCATTGTCTTGAGCCTGTGGATGGGTCTCTACCAGCTTTGCACCTCAAGACAGAGCGATTTCTTACTATTATTTCTTGCAGAGCTGCTTATGCTCTGTCGAGTTTCATGGGGACCGTGAGAGAAGAGCCAATGGCTGGAGGTCCGCACTCCGACTTGGCCACTGCAGAACACTAACTCTAACACTAACACTAACTCTAACACTAACTCTAACACTAACTCTGGTGTCTTTAAGTCATCCCTGTGCAGCTTCAGCTTTATATCTGGGGTCGCTGTCATGCTGTCGCCAGTTCCCCTGCAGGATCTCCCCATGTTTTGCTGCATTCATTTTACCCTGCACCTTCACCGTCATTCCAGGGTCTGCAGCAGAGAAGGTTCCCTGCAGCGTGACGCTGACACCACCAGGCGTCACCGTGGGGACGCTACGTTCTCGGTATGTGGTACAAAATATAGTGTTTGGTTTCATGACCAAACAGCTCGGTTTTAATCTCATCAGACAACAGAACCTTCTACCACTTGATTTCAGGTTCTCTCACATGCCTTTTGGAAAATTCTAGCTGACATGTCATATGGTTTTTTTTCCCCTCTTTGCCACTCCGGGAAGAACTGTCATGCGCCTCTCCAACCTCAGACGCAGATCCCTGGCACTCCGTCACAGCTGTCAGGGGACTCTTGGTGGCCTTGCTCACCAATGCCCTCCTTACACGTTCGCTCCATTTCTGAGGCCAGCCTGCCCTCGGTAGATTAAAATAATGGACGTGACTGCAGTGTGAGAGATATTCAGTGACTCTGAGAAAAATAACAGTCATGGAGTTATCTGATGTTCCTTTGTCTCCATGGTGCGGTTCTTGCCAAGAAGTTGATGGAACAGTAGTTGGACCTTTCAGATATATGCGTATTCATACTACAGCCACTTAAATAACCTTGACTGCACGCAGATGATCTCCGTTTAACTCATTACACAGTTTCAAAAACCAACTGGCTGCACTAGTGATGATTTAGGTGTCATATTAAAGATTATTTTGAGTTTTCTGTTTATAATTCATTTACATACTGTTGTAGTGTTTTTTCACTTTGACATTACAGAACCTTTTTTTTGTTGATTAGTGTTAAAAAAAACCGTACAATTAAATCCAATGTTGTGAAACAGCAATACAAGTCCAAAGGAGATGAATACTTTTCATAGACACTGTGTATGATTTGCGATTTATACAGCAAGCAACATTCCTACAACCCCACATATTCATATAAATTTAACTGAAGTGAATAAATGTGACATTTCCTGATGTTACTCCAGAGCAGCGTGAGCTAGTTCTACCACGTTTCGTATGTCGGTCCCTCTCTGGAACAAACGAGAAATTGGACATGGGTAACTTTGACCCATTTTCTGTGTTACGTGGCCAGCGAGAAAACCCCGGTGAGATTATGACATCAGAGCATGACAAAGCAGAAAATTTAAAGAGACGAGCTGCAAACACTGCTGGATTATTCTGACGCTCAGACAGGTCTGTAGTCAGTCAGCAGGCCGAACATCAGGAGATGTTTTTAAACGGCCATCAGCTCAAGCGGCGGGTAGCACTCTGGTCCTCTGAGTTTAAAAATGAGGACTGGCTGTCGGCTCCTAACCCACCACGTCAGCGTTACTGGATAACCAACCGAAAAATGGGTGAAAGTGTAAAAACCGAAAGGTTGTTTTGCAAGGCAACGTCAGTCCGTTACCTATTAATCTTCGATGTACAGTATGTGTGTATTTAGGCAAGTTGATGTCCATACAGATGTTGGCTGGTTCAAATATAAACAGGTGCTTCAAAACAGCATCATAACAATAAATCTACCGCGTTAAATTTAGCTCTTGTGGGCTTTCCCGTAAAAATGCTCTGATTTACCGATTGTTACAACGAAGAAAAAGGTAACAACATTCCCTGAGCGCCTGCTGCGGGGACTCAGGCTGCTTGACGTAACTAATTCTCTTTCAATTAAAGCGCAGGAGACGTTCATAAGTGAAGCGCGCTCCTTCGGAAGGTTTAATTAATGCCGCCTGGCCTGCAGCCACGAGCTGCGTCTTCCAGAGGAGCCTCATCAGTGGAGGCGGACCCAGGAACAGCCGGGTGGGCAGATGCTTTTCAGCTCCGCTGCCGCCGCCACCTCCAGCCGCCACGCGACAGACTGCGGAGCCGCTCGCATATTTAGGTTAGCGCGTACTGGGACTCAGAAACGTAATGACTCATATCATACGGCCGCCGCCTCTTTGAGGGATCCGAGCGAGTCACCCGTCGCCTTTACCGAGATGCCTCTCGAAAGCCTCCTTTTTTCGCCACGATGCTTCCCTTCGTGAAGACTGGCTGTCGGACGCGTCGTGTGCCGGTCTGACTGACTGTTTCTTAACTACGGTGGCTCCTTACTACAGACATCCCTGACCTCCTTTCTGTGGAAGGCAGAGAATTCTAAACAAGGGTGGAGCACAGACACAGACTGCAGTACCTTTAATAAATCCTTCGGAAAATCAGCACCGTCGTTCAGGCCATCCAAGTTACTAATGAACTGTTGGCAAGACATCTTCTTCCCGATATTCTGCAATGCAGAGACACACACGCGCACAGTCAGGTTAGAGAGAGGTTTGGCTCTCAGTCTCTCCAGCCCCTTAGTGACCCAAGTTCTAGTGAAGAAGGCTGGACTTACCACCTTTCAGGGTCCAGAAGTAGCGTTAAAAGAAGACAGAGGTAAAACATTAGGACAAAATGGGGGGGGGACGTGTTGTGAGCAGAATCCATTTGGGGGGGGGGCAGATCAGTGTGCTGACAGGGATGTGTCAGTCTTTGTACAGGTGGGAGGCGTGAGTAAGAGCAGGTCTGCAGCCAGGTGACGACAGCGAAACCATTCTGGGAGCCGCAATGCACCTGACAGCCAGCAGATGGCAGCAGAAACGTATGTTCGCGCAAAGAGGAGAGAACGTCAGCTCAGGTCAGACGCGGCCGAAAGCAGGGTATACGTACATGGCCGTGCAGATCTGTGTTGAGCAGCATGAGGGCACAGGTCAGCGTGTGCACGCCGTCTGAAAGAGCAAGAGAGCCTCTTTGTAGGTAAGGCTGACGTACAATGTCTGCACTCGCGACGACTGGGGGGCCAGAGGGTACCGCTGGGAGAACCTCAGCATGAGGGGAAGCCTTCCAAAGCGGGAACGGAACCACGGTGTCTCAAGCAGAGCCGTCACTTTTAAAAGGCAACAAAAACTGAACCGAAGAGGAAATTTCCAAAACTCACCCAGCCCACAGGATACAGGAAGATCTCTGTGGACTTAGTGAGTTGTGGAAATTTAATGACAGCTCTTTGATGGATTACCTGAGGACTGAGTTTTGGTACCTAGTACAGTAATGCAGTAAAATCAGGAAGCTGCAGATCAAAAGCCTCTGAATCGCTGGGATGCTTCCCACCGTAGAGACTGGCTGTCCAGAAGCCTGACTTTAGGTCACTGGCAGCCTTGTCTCAAAAACAATACATGCACTGGGTGAGTGATAGAAATTTACTGTCCAATTATTCTGTAATTGAGCTGTGAAGCCCTTTTAGGCCGAGAAGAGCAGGGGGGGTGGGGGGGGGGTGAAGAGCAGGCTTGCCTTCGGACGTCAGCGTCTCAGGGTTGCAGCAGCAGAACCTCTTGGAGAAGTGAATCAGTATACGCTCCCTTTCCTGCGTCTCACCCATCAGTGGAAAGGCCTTCAAGAATGTTCTGGAAGGAAGATGGAGCAGCGTGACGCCCCAAGGAACCAAGCGTCACAGCAACATCCAAACTGAACCTCACAGATTACAGAGTATCCCCAGGAACCTTTAAATGTACATTATAAATTCTGACATTTTTCCTTTTTCGTGGTTTCCTTGTATCATTAACAATTCAGTTATTTATGTACTTATACTGTAATGTAATGTAACCTTGTTGTGAAAGGTGCTAAACCATAAAAAAGTTAAATGGATTTAGCAAAAAAAATCCAGCAGCACAAATAGGGGTGTAAGCTGAAGCTCTGTCTCCAGAAATCATTTCGTGAGATGAGAGAAAAGTGCAGGTGATCTCCTCACCGAAGGGCCTTATCCAGGGGCATCCCCGTGAAGTCGAAGAAGCGCAGGTACTCTGCCGCCACCAGCTGGCTGAACTCGTTACTGCAAGAGACAGATGTACGGTGAGGGGGTGGGGCCCACGACGTCATGCAAAACAAGGCCCAACACTGCAGCTGAAGTCCAGGGGGTCCCGACAAAATTCAGATAACAGGTGAAATAAAGACGTCAGGGGGGGAGCAGAAGCACGAGGGGGGGGGGGGGACATAGAGACGCACTTACGCAGCGAGACGCAGCGAGACGCAGGTGTAAATGGAGGCGTTATCGCGTAGGGGAGGCGGCGGGGGAGGGACATGACCGCTTGGGGACACTGCGGATGCCGCACTTACTTCTTGCCGAGGTGTCGAGCCACGTCACAGCGCTTGAAGCCCTCCAGGTGGAAGAGCCGCTTGGCCAGGCGTTTGGCGGCTTCGCCGTCCGCCCGGCAGCCGTTGGCCAGCGTGTCCGTGCTGCCCTGCTCCGCATCCGAGTCGGACAGGACGTCCGCGAGGTTGGCGTCGCTGCAGAGGGCATAGGCGGTGGGTGCCGTTAGTCAGGCCCGTCACTCCCGCAGCGCGCCCCCCCCGCCCCGCCCCACATCACGGCTTCTGGGGGTTTAATCGGTATCATCATCTCGGTGCGTGTCATGCAGCATCTGTTTCTCTAATTCACCGAAGGAAACTCGGCCGAAAAGCGACAAAATCGTAACTAATAACAATACTGCTGGATGATGAACGAGCGATTATAGGCAACGCTGCACTTTCATACATTACTGCATTCCATTAGCAACAATTAAAGCTCGCCATGAATTATAACGCATTCTGTCGCAGCAGCAGTGTGGGAACCTTTAAATCTGGCACATTCACTCCATTAATGATCAGCTGCTACTGCAAAATGAAGCCTTTAAACAAATCTAAGGGTGCAAAACATTTAAAACTGCCAAGGTTGAAGGGAACAAAACATAATCACCCTAAAAACAAATAATGCAATGTCACAATAAAAAGAATAATATGCCACAGAATGCAAAGCTAATACACTTAACTACCTGCAAAAAAGATTTTAAACCTCAAATACCCCCACCCCTCTTCCCCCGCCGAAATGGAACACCCCTCCTGTTCATATTTTCATTAGTCATATCTGTTTATCACATGACGCTTATCTCAAATAGCAAATGATTTGTCCAAAAAGCCCATCAAATCCGCAGCACTAATTTCACATACATGAAAAATAACGCAAAAGCGCAAATTGACGAAAGCTAAAAAAAAAAATTCAATACCAGGACATCAGTACATTACGTTTTGAAGGAATTATTCACACTGGCTCCTCACTGCCTTCATAAAACAATCTATCTCCATCATAGCAGATGTAGTTTCCTTAAATGTGAAATATGCAAGAAGTCGTCCACCACCTTCTCTGCGGTCAGCTTTACATCATCAGGAAAATTAGAGGAATTTCCCTGCATGATCTGGCTTCCTCTGTCCATCCATAGCATTACCACACAGCACATCACACCGGAATGTATATCATTTATAAATTCAGGCACAAATTTAAGTTGTTAGAGAAGGTAGACATGTAATTACACTGGGGGGGGGGTCTCTGTAAATTGTGAATATTGCGTGGTTGTCTGTCATCAAAAGTAGCACTCAGCTTTTTTGGAAGTAGACTAAGGGTCTGAAATACTTAACCCTAAGAACAGATTACAGATTACTATGAGATTTCGAAACGGAAATGAGTTTTATACACAGCATATAGGCAGCTTGTGCTGGACCATCACACTTAGTTTCGCATTCAGTCCCGCAGCCTGGCTAGTCACAGACGTCCCCCTACAGCACAGAAAACACCATTCAGGGAGCCTGATTAAGTGGATGAATGGGCAGGCGTGTGAAAGCGCCGCTGAGAGCTGGCACGCCGCCCGAGGTGGACCCCGTATACGGCTGGGCGCTTCCTGAGGCTGCGGCCACCGCTACTCTACGTGAATAAGCAGTTACTGAAAATGGATACATGGAGTCGAGCCAGGAAGAGGCTCCCCATACATCATTCCGGTACAGCCTTAGCTAAGAATGTAAAACTAATGTAAGTCGTGATTTAGTGCCCGGTCTGTCTGTGTAAAGGTATTACCCAGTATATATATCTGCAGTGTATCCATCCGCTTTCCATAAACCGTTATTCATTACAGGGCAGCAGTGAGGCTGACACTTACCCCGGGAGACACGGGGCACACGGCAGGGGGGCAGCCTGTCTGTCCCTCACAGGACACACACTTTCATTCCTATGGGCATAACCCTAACCCCAACAATGACGACCCTAACCCCCACCCTGCCCTAACCTTAACCATAAGTAACCAAAGAAAATACTCTTTGCATTTTTAGTTTTTTCATAGCAGTCACCGATTTTTATAAAATAGAGTTTTCCCTTATGGGGACCAGGAAACCGGTCCCCATATGGGAAAAAAAACGGATATTTATCACGGATAGGTAAACCCGCTCGCGCACACACACACACACACACACACACACACAGTGGCCAATTCAGAGATGCCTATTCACTTAATTGCCTATTTTCGGATTGTGGAAAAAGACCCAGAAACAGAAGGANAGGAACTGTACCAACAACTTTGGGGGTGTGTGACCACATGTGAATGGTCTGAAATATGTAAGAAACAGCTTCTTTACAGAACACCTGTTAAAACTGGATTAGACCAGTGTTTCCCAACCCGGTCCTCGGGACCCACGGACGGCCCACATTTTTGCTCCCTCACAGCTCCCAGTAGGAGCAAAAGCGTGAACCGTCTGCGAATCCCCAAAGACTGACTGGGAAACACTGGATTAGACATGTTGCTTTCCTGAAATCTTGTTGAGGTTTTTAATTAGGCTGATCAGGACGGCTCGATACTGCCAGAACAGCATGGAGCTGTCAAGGGTTACTAAACTTCAAAGTTTTTGCATGCTGCAAATGAGCTGGCTTTGGGAACGACTTTAACAGCTTAATGGGCACTGCTCCGTCCAGCAGGAATACTTAACGCCGTTTGAGTGGGACGAAAACACCATTCCCGTGAGCTTTCATTGCCACGCAACCTGCTGATTCGGAGAGGAAGGCTCCGTCATGCATATGTCAGCCATCGACTTAAAGCACATTTTAATTTTATAAGCTCAGAAGTAACCTTAATAAATATTTTATTAGTGGCTGATTACTAAATAATGAGCATATCTGCCAGCGTAATGTACTGGCATGCATATGTAAGGAAGTGTATAATGGATAATTGCCAGACTGGGAGTGTATGAGAAGACAGGACAAGAGATCAGGGTCCCCCCCCCCCCACACACATTCTCCCATGTTCTGGTACATTCTCCCATACTTCTCTCACAAACACGCATGAAAACAGAATAATAAACAACTAAAACCTTTACACTTTTTACCGAATGATTCACATATTTAGCTAAATCTAATCAGTGCAATTAAATTATGCCTAAACTTAATATAGCACAGTGATGTGTCGGTTGCCATGGTTTCTCGCGTGCTGGCTGACCCAAGAGCGGGGCATTAATCACAGCTCTGAAACCAACGTGAGGCGCTGCTATAACCTAAAACTCATGCAGCTCTCTAGAAAAATCCACAACGGAACCCAAATGGCCACAGCAGTTTAGGAACATGCCTAGGCAGCTCAACAGTGGAACCCTCTACATTAACACCCAACTACACAAACTTCGTAATACATTCCTATACCACTCCACAGAAACACCCAATAAACCTACAACGCCTAACACCGCTCAGCAAAAACTCCCCAAACTCCTACGACCCAACACACCAGAAGCCCCTTCCTTCCCCTAATGTAAACCAGACCTCTGCCATGGAGGAAAGGAATATCATGCTCCCTGCCCTGTGACCAATCACAGGGCAGGAACGATGAACGCATCACCGCCAGTGTCCTCGCTCCTTTGCGTTCCCTAAAAGCAGTGATGTTACCCAACAAGGTACTGTTTAAACAACACCACTGCAGCCAACAGTAAATATCCACATCAGGTCCAAAGTATGTGCAGATTATACTCTCTGAGGTTACTTTATTACATTATCCTACACAGCAGTATCAGGTAGGACCCCTATTTGTGTCCAGAGCCACTTCAAGGTTAAACGAGTTACGGTTCACAGAAGCTTTCCTGCTGTATTGAGTGGTTCATTTTGAACTTGTACCTGTTCCTTTAGGTTTAACAAACCTGGCCATCCTCCATTGACCTCTCTTATAAACCAGGCCACGGAAATGCCACCGACTGGCTCATTTTTATCCCCCACACTGGTCTCTGTAAATTCAAGGCACTGTACTGAGTGAGAAGACCAGGAGGGTGACTGTTTCTGAGATTTACAAACCCGTATGTCTGGCACTAACAATCACACCGCGTCTAAAACCGACTGGATCACATGCCTCAGCTGTGAACCTCACCCTGCCTGTATTCAGCTGCAAAACACAAGATTCACTGTTTATATCAAGAAGCAGGTGTAGCTCCCAAAGCGAGCATGGGGTGCAGTACGGCTATATACATTATCTAGTACCACCATTAATGCTCTGTACAAAACATTAAAATATCAGCTAAAGGCCGCATTTATTTCTTTGTGGGGACCGCTCATTCATTTCTATGGGCAAATCCCTAAATACCAACATGACAACCTTAACCCCTACCCATCTCTAACCATAACCGTAAGTAACCAAGCAAAATACAAGAGTTTTTGCATTTTCGGGTTTTTGATTACATTCACAAATTTTTATAAATTTGTGAGTTGTGAGTTTCCCCATGTGAAGACCGAAAAAATGCTCCCCACTTCAGAATAACAGATTTTTATGACATTGTGGAGACAGACAGACAGACAGACACACACAAACACACACACAATTGACAATTTAGATAAGCCAAGCAACAGGAGTCCAACTGCATGTCTTTGCAGGAGAAGCACGGCTCCAGCTGACTGGGCTACAACAAGCAAACGCCACACACACGGGACAGAATCGAGGGCCATTTCCGGAGGAGCGAGGCCGCAATGCCACTGAAGGCCATTCAGCCCGGATGTAAATGACAGGTGACAGAGCAGTCCCTCCCTTCTTCAGTAGATACACTCACGGCAGTCTGAGGGGCTGCTGTCCACTGGAATATTCAGATCACTGCATAACGCAGAGTCACACGAGTATCCGGGACCAAATAAAGCAACAGCCGCTGGCGCCTCTCAGTGGAGAAGAACTGAAGAGGGCGTCCCCAGAGGTGGAAATTTCAGGTCCAGAAAGTAGAAATCCTGACCGTGATTTAGTGTCAATCAACCACTTGAGTATAAAGAGTCATAGTTACAGAGTACTCCACTGGTTGGTTGAAACAAAATCCTGGTGTGGATTCGTACTTTCTGGACCTGAAATTTCCACCTCTGGCCGTCCCAGACACAGCACTTCTGTTAGCAGAGGGCATCAGCCATATTGCTGACGATACACATCACAGCTGTCCAATTAGAAACACATATCTCCAAAAATCCATTATTTCAGGAGCATAAAAAAGCATTTTCTCAGAAACTAAACCTAAACCATAAAAGTAAACCTAAACCATCGTAATCAGACACCCTTAGCATCACAAATAGAAGCCTGTCTTTACACACTGTCAGTGAACGGTTTAATGTTTTAAATGGACTTATGTGGATTGTTTTCAGTGAGGCAAATATGTCCATGTTATCTAGCTACCTAGATATCAATACTAAGTTGTTAAAATTAGCCATATAAAGTACTTGACTTAGATAACTAGTATTTATGTTTCTACTCATTAGTAGAAACAAATCCTAGTTAAATAGATGACTTCATAAAACATCTTTTTATTGGTCAATTAGGTGTCAAATGCTATCAGTAGACAGTGACAGATCTTCACTGCACACGTAGCTGAACGCTAAAGCATCTTCACTGCACATGCAGCTGAACGCTAAAGCATCCTCACTGCACACGTAGCTGAATGCTAAAGCATCCTCACTGCACACGTAGCTGAACGCTAAAGCATCTTCACTGCACACATAGCTGAATGTAAAGCATCTTCACTGCACACGTAGCTGAATGCTAAGCCAACATAGGCTGCGGTCTGCATTGGGAAAAACTGAGAGCCAGTGACTCAGAGACCAGTCTCACACCAGTCACGCCATGCTGCTCTCACCCAAACAAGCGTGTCAGCCACATTCAGACACAACTCCAGAGTCCTTATTGCATTTACTCGCCGGTGCTAGCAGGAGAATATCTGTCCACAATATCTGTCCAATTCTACAGTGTCAGTCTAAGGAATTGGGGGATTTAGAAGCATAAAGGGCTTGATATGTGAGACGTGTTTACCAAGAGATGAGGTTGGTGATGGATTAGCAACGAGTGCAGTGCAGAAATAAGTCATGTCATCCATCTACTGGAACTAAGTGTCACGTACCTAATACCAATTAGAGTAACTGCAAGTTATAAAGTTATACAGTCTTTAATCATGGATTAAGCAGGCAGAGACTGTTCTTGTAACTTAGTATCTCATTAAGTGTCCTTTCCCTGCCATAAACAAGTTGTCAGTGAAAAGGTTCGAGGTCAACATTTACATCTCCATACACTGCCGGAGGCCCATCTGGCTTCGCTGTCCCCATATCCCTGCCCGCCAGCTCATCGCAGAATTACGCGTAAAATGAGAACAAAAACAGCGAACCTTCCGGCTTGGTTCGCCTCAGCGAGGCCATATGCCGTGACGTTCCCAAGCGGGAGGTAAACACCGGGCAACAAAGCAAACGGTTTCATCACCACGGTATTGATCTGCATTGCAAAACGTGTCTAAAATCGACAAATCCAGGAGGCAAAGTGCAGAGGCTGTGATGAAGGTAAACCAATGAGAAACGACCGCTGTCACTGTACAGTAATCGGTAACGGCTTACTTCACAAACCTCACGGCTGTTACCTAAGTTACAGAAATTAACAGCACCATAAAATAATTTTTCCTAAACAGGGCAGCATCTGACATTGCTATGAGTTCACCTTAAAGTTAACTGTCATTTACAGTACAGTCGACCCGTCCACACTGCGGGGATTAGGGGGCAGGCCCCCCTCGATCTGGAGAAACCATGTAAAAAAATTTTGGTCTCCTTGGCAAGCGATGTGAAGTGTTTCGGATTTTAGTACAGTTTGGGGCACAAAAACGGCACAAAAGGATATGAGAAATGCGAGATACGTAGATCACTGCGAGCTCACTGCGAGCTGCCACATGAGAGGTTGCTGTAAACACGCTTGGTCTCCTCGCAGCAAACACTGTACATATATTTTATGCATTTATGAGTTACTAAACTTTTAGCGTGTCCTCTGCTGGCCTTCGTGTGTTGTCTGCGGCTTTCACAAAACTCCCTAAATATTCTCTTTAAATCTCTTATGCCAACCCCACGATGTATCAAAACCACGATCGGGAAAGTCGAGATGCAGAAGGGTCAGCAGTATATTACAGTTGCGCTTATGGGTTAATTTGCCTTGGAATCCTCAGTCTACTCACTTTTACTACATAAATCTCCTTCATCTTAATCTAAAATTAAACCTGATTTGTAAAATAGAGTTTCTTCTATTAACCACCAATTCAGCTGAGTTCAGTTCCATTCATTTTCCTACATAATCCTTTTCCAACACAGTCGTCCCAAAGAGCTTAACAAAAATTCAGCAGCATCATTGATAGATATAACATAAGTTGCTGTTATATGCTATTAAAGGAATGGAAAATCCAGCGAGTGGAAAAGCCAAAAGACAACAGAGGCAGGAAAAAACTTCTATGGAACGGGTTTGGAGGGAAAAAATGCCTTGGAGTCCAAGCCTGACTGGCGGCAGCCCCCCCCCCCCCCCCTCCTTCAGGCCAAACGTTAAACAAGTCAGAAATAAGCGTGACAAGTGTTGTTAAAAATAAAGTTCCGAGTGGGATGATGGGCTCCCATTCAGTTCCCTGTCAGAGCTGCTAATGATGCTCCGCAGTTTAGCCCCAGATGTGCTGGTCCAGAACAGATCCAGGCCTCACGGCCTGTGCTCAGTTTCATCCATTAAAATAATTTCTACTTCTTTCAGGTCACCATCATCCCGAGCCTGACATGGGAAGCAAACAGAAGGGCACATCCTGAACAGACACTCGCACAGCACTGAGTCGCCAGAACTGGGCGCTTTCAAAGTAAAGAAGGAGACCAGAGTTCCCAGCAAGAAACTCAAAACTGAGGAGGAACCCAGAGCCCCCAACAGACAACACAAAACGCCCCCAGGCCGAGCATCCGAACTCCGCACAGGCAAATCCAGGATGACACCCGGGACCCGAAGGCAGTGAGGTGACACTTTTATCTGCTAAGCCACCATGCCATCCATCATGGACTTATATCACCGTCTAAATGCCAATATCGCGGCATATCGACTCATGTCTTTAGCTAGAGGCCAGAATAACTCTTGGAATGGGGGAGACTGGGACCATGCAGTTTCCCGACACCAAAAGCCTGCAGAGAGCTAACAGATTCAATCTAATCTGATTATAATTTCTTAATTTTATTAGTTTGGTTTAAATTATGGGAGACTACCTGCTGGGGTGCGGTACCCTCTGCCAAACTTGCACAACAAAAGATATAAAGTGAAAAGAAAGGACAAAAAGTATTACTAAATGCTATTGGACGACTGGCATATACAGTATATGTTTCAGGGGTAAATTCATGTGAACAGATATGCCCATCAAGGTGCTCTCTGTCATATCCACAGCAGTAATTTGCTCTGAAGGGTATTTCTGCACTGGATGAAAAATCTTACACATTCCGAAAAGTTTATCCATTAATCCACCTAACAGCCGCTTACCCTGGTCAGGATTAAGGACCGAAGGAGGGATTAAAGCCTGCAATAGCAGCACAGAGCACAGGGCAGGAGAGCATCCTGGATATGGCTGCCAGCTCATCACAAGCTACACACAATCATTACAGGCTATTCAGAGACCTTGTATGCAAAACACACACACACACAGAGCAAGGAAGGGACTCAAACCTATAACCCAGGAGTACTACCCACCACCTTGTCCCTTAATCTCCAGTTGACGTATTTTAATCTGCGTTTCATGAGAGGGAGAAAAACAGTTAAGTTAAAGAATGGGATGAATGACTGCTTGGAAAAAAAATAGGTTCAACCTGCATCATATACCCTCAATTTTAAAAGCTTATTTTACTTTAGAATGTCAAACTCCGTTCTCTCAATTTATTATTGTATGTGGTGAAAGCAAAGTTTGTACATAGTAATATTTTTACAGTTAATTTCCATTTTTTAATTTTTATTTTACGCATTCCTGTCCTACAAACGGAGGCACGCTGGAGTGTTACGGGGCAGCCCCTTTCCTGCATTAAAAAGACCGTAACTTACAGCAACTCCAAAAGAAAGTCGAAATGCACGTCATACTCCTCCTTCCACATTTTCCTCGCCTTCAGACCGCTAGATCGAGCGGACAGCACGGTGAAAGCCCAGCGCAGAGGTCGCTCAAAGCCATGTTCGGCGCCGCCAAGGCGCTCGTCCGAAGCAGCGCAGCCGGCCAGAGGGGCTCATGTCGCCCCGCTAGAAAGGCGCCCGGAAAGGCTGCATGATGCGCGGCGCTCTTCAGATCACGCTCTCCATAAAAATAGTTCATAGATTAACGCGTGTACGACCCGGGTCGCCGTGCCGGATTACTCATTACGAGCTTTCGTTTTTTCTCTTTTGTTTCGTTAAAGTTTAAACGTTTAAGCAGCAGGGGAAGGGGCGGAGTGTCCCGCATAGCGCTGCGCTTTACGCCGTGATGCGGACCTCACTGCTTCTCATTTTCCAGTGGCGCAATCCAGCTGCAGAGCTCGACTTTGGCTGCACTGCACTGCAGGCAGGAACGCTTCCTAGGAAAAATACTAAACACGCTGCATTAAATATCGTTCGTATTACATATCGTTCAAAGTATGCCCTAATAATAACTTTTTTTGTCATTACGGTGATGTGTATTATTATTGAAATAATTTTATTATTCAAAATTGTTCCTGTGTTCTACGTTTTCGAAAAAGGAATGCGAGGTTTCACCGTAATTTTTTTGGACTTTTCCTGTTGGCAGTCATAGAAACGGAAAGCTGACCGAATACGGAGAAGTCCCCCATCTGCAACGAATTAGAGCCCGGCAGACAGGCGCAGCGCAGCGGCATCCTGGCACAGCACCGGGACCTCTCTCCGCCCGTTACCCCTTAATATATATCGGGCCTGTGCAGATGTTTGTTTCTGCCCTTTCGTTTAATTAAATTTCGTAGACAGATGATGAAACGGTGCCTCATTTCACAATTATCTGTAACTTTCTTTGCGGAAAAAAAGCACTGCACATCGAACAGGGGAAACTGCAGAACCTGACCGGATCCATAAATGTTGCTATATTTAGTCTCCCTCTGCTCTCCTTTCAGACACCAGCAGGGGGCGCCGTGACGAGTGTCGTTGTTTGGAATATCAGAGGACAAAGTAACCGGGAATGAACGATGATACACGTCTCAAAGATAAAGCACCGTCATACAGATCGAGCTAACAAATCCTGCATTTGGTCTATCTGATATAATGAATCCACACTATGCCTGTTTACTTTATTGCACAATACAAATCCTTTCTTTCTACTTTTGGTATTTGTGAAGGGAACAGTGTCCCAGCTATGACTCACCTCCTGAAAGCAGAACAGACCCGATAGGAGGGAAGAGAGGGGTATAGATATCGTCTCCAGACTTTTACATGGCGGCAGATGTGCATCACCGGGGTCTGACACATTAAAGCATGCCTCTGTTGCTAACCGTCATCCACTTGTGTATGAAAGGAGACGGCGAGATAAATGCAAAGCACCGAGCCCACCGATTAACCCCAGTTCGCACCCCTCCCCCTCCAAGCACAGGGCTTAATATGCTGTGACAAATGCCCGGCAAGCCGCACCATGGTTAAGTACTTGAACTTGTGAACAAAGGGTCCACAAATTGCTTTTTAGTATCCAGCCGTGTGAAATCTCAAGCTTAAGTGACTTTGAATTAAACTGCCTGCAAAATAACTCAATAAATCCATCTCAAAACAAGCAGTAGTCCTGAATGTGATAATCCTAAAAACATAATGACGGGTGTATGTTACATCAGAGCAAGGCGGTGCTTTTAATTCAATGCTGGCTAAAGCATTAGAGATTCAGCGCCAATGACAGGTATCTGAAATGCTTAGGTAGCCGTCAGCCTATCTTTTGCAGCCTTTTATTGGACCAGTGTTTAGAAGATGGACTGAATTCGGGATGGGAATGTTGTGAGAAAACGAGGAGGGCTGGTACTCTGGAGGCAGACAGAATTTCCTAGGATTTATTTCTTAAAATGACACATCAGCACTGGCAGGAGGCCCTACTGAGCCTCAGCAGCTGTGAAACGCTCTTCCGAACAAACGCAAACGCGGGACTCCTAACGAGGGCGCTCCTGGGCCCGCGTCTGGACGGATCTGTAGACGGAGCAGCGCCGATGCTCCACCCCCGATCCCATAGGTTTTGTGGTGCAGATGTGCAAAATGAGGCCCACGGACTGGAAAGGAGCATGACCGGTTGGAGAGGGAGGGGCTGGTCGGCTGGGTGTTTGCGCTCGGCTGATGTTTGGATGCCAGGCTGCAAGAAAACTCAGGGACAGATAGAAAAGGGAGGGATGGGAATCTCAGCTAAGAGCTAAAGAGGGGAAACTGCCCTTCGTGGTGTGAAACACTGAATCGACCAGGCTGCTTGGTTCACAGACACTCGCCTGCGTGTCTCGGGATAAACAGCAGGCTGCTCCAATCCCCGCCTCCATCCCCTGTAGCGGAGGGAGGTACCACGGCCATCCGTACAGGAGCTGGAAGCCGGTGTGCTGCGAGAGGAAGGCCGAAACCGCTGATGTCACCCCGAACACAATGGCTCATTCAGAGGCCCGGCGGGCAGGAAGTCCCTGCTTGTTTAAACGACTACAGCTGCGGAACAACTACAAGCAGACTCTGTCCACAGGGGAAGAAGGCATCAGAAACTCTGTAGGGGGCTGTAGAGGCAGTCAAAATACGCCCAGATAGGCAAAGAAGTAAGCAAAATCCTACCAGTGTATATTTCATTTGTGTCAATTTTTATATGCTGGACAACATACTCGTTATTGACAGTTTATACACCAATGGAAATCCATGGTAATGTTCAAAAGGTGCCATCAAAGGTGGGGGGCGAAGCAGCCCAAACATCAGCACCAACCTACCAAGACAAAGAGCCAGAAGCGCTAACAGGATGATGAGGAAAGCTGATAGGGGCATAAGACTTAAGGCTGCATCTCGTGCCAAACGTCTTTTCACTGAATACAGCGCAGTCTGCCCGGCTAAGAATTTGTTGTTAAGTTGAAGCAGTATTATCAATGCTTTTTTTTCTCTATGAGCTTATGATTACAGGTTTTCCGTTTCAGATTATTACAGTTTCTCAGAGGCTGGGCTGCATTCAGATGCAGGGGTATGAAAAAGGCATTACCAGTCACATGAGAGACACGCCGGGAGCCCGACGTGTCGAGCTCCAGATGTAGCGAAGCGCTTGCCGCTGTTCCTCAGCATGACCCGTGTCGCGTGTCACACGGCAGGAATGTGTCGCCACCCCGTGACCGGGCTTCATTCAGGCCCCTGGTGGGAGTTTCTCAATCACTACAGGCCCCCTTGTGGTGTAAGTGTGAATCAGGGCAGACCTACTAGTTGTCTGCCCCCTGCTGGAAGAACTCGCCAACTGCCCCTGTCACTATAGCACCGCGGCCACGTTCCCCGGCACGGCCTGACGAGGCTTCCTCCGTCTAGCGGCAAGTTCTCGGGAGCGCCGGCCTGTGTATGGCAGCCCCTGGGTTACCATGGCAACAGACAGAAATCCCCTCGCCGCGGAAGTGAGCACAGGCGAGCGTTTCACGCAGGGAGACTGACAGGCCAGGTTAATCAGCGGCAGCAGATGCCTTCAGATAACACTCGCGGGGGTGCGGACTGGGAGGCAGGCGGCGGAGAATGTGCGCTGTTATCCATTCCCCCCTTCCTCCCCCCGAATCACCGGCACATACGCGGTGTTTCCAGACTCAGAGCGTAGTCTTCGCCGGGTGTCTTTGTGTTTCATTCCACTTGCCCGGTGGTCGGGCCTAAAAAATGCATCCCTTTCTCAGGCGCCTTTTATGGTAATGCGCGGATCATGTGATCGTCTAAACGTGCCTTTGAGATCTGCTCGGGACTATCCTGTTTGACAGGTGATCAGATTTCCGCTAGTTGCTAACATGCTAAACTGCGTTGTGGAGGAAGGCAGTAAGGACCGGGAGTCGCCCAGGGGACCGGCTGCTGTTCTTCAGCAACGCTATTGATTATTTCAGGCGTTAGCTGCATGAATTATGTATCTCGGTATCGGGCTGGAGACCCCAGGAGTCTCCGGGACAAGGCCAGCTCAGACCAGCAGCGACGGAGCAGACCGTTCCATTTCACAGACATCACAGCTGGTATCCCGGAGCACGGCCCCCTAGCAAAATTGCTACAGACCATCCAGATCGCCTCAGACCTTCCCCTGCCCAAAACATCAATCTGTCTCTAAAAGCAGCCCAGGAGCCTGTCTCCTCTGTGCTCCCAGCTTCCAGTCTGTCTTGCCTGAATTATGGCTGCCATGGCTTCAGCACACGGCGCCAAACTGAGCCCAGCCGCACAAGCAGGGGTAGCACTACAATTTGGGCCCAACCCAGACCAATCCAATTATTGCTCTGCATTTGTTAGGGCCCCTATCACTCAAGGGCCCTGGGAATCGTCCTAACTGCCCCCTTAAGATACCCCTGCACACAGGGCTTCCTCAGATAAATCAGGAACCCATCACGTTTCCTGGAATGCTGGGAATGCTAAAACACACTGGGAATGCTGAAATACGTGGGGAATGCTGAAACATACTGGGAATGGTGAAACACACTGGGAATGCTAAAACATATTATGAAGGCTGAAATATACTGTGAATGCTGAAACATACTGGGAATATTGAAACATGCTGTAAATGCTAAAACACACAGGAAATGCCGAAACATACTGGGAATGCTGAAACACACTGGGAATGCTGTAGCACACTAGGAATGCTGAAATATACTGGGAATACTGAAACAAACTGGGAATGCCGAAACATACAGGGAATGCTGAAACATGCTGTAAACTCTGAAACACATTGTGAATCCTGAAATATGCTAGGAATGCTGAAACACTGGGAATGCGGAAACACGCTGTAAACGGTAAAACACACTGGGAATGCTGAAACAAACTGGAAATGATGAAACACACTGGGAATGCTGAAACATACTGGGAATGCTGAAACATACTGGGAATGCTGAAACATACTGGGAATGCTGAAACAACCTGGGAATGATGAAACACACTGGGAATGCTGAAATATACCGGAAATACTGAAACATACTGACAATACACAAACACGCTGTAAACGGTAAAACATACTGGGAATGCTGAAACACACGAAGAATGCGGCGTCTCGCATAACTCGCTATCCAGTTCAAAATCCGCATCTGTGTTTTTTTCCAAAAAGGCATAAAAATACCATCATTCAGAAAAGGACTCCTGAGCGACAGGCGCTTCTCCATGTTCATGTGTCCCACCTGTCCCTTGCACTGCTCACTGCAGATTTTTGTGTTCTGTCTCGTCTGGCCCCCAGTTATCAGGCTCACTGTCCTCACTGCGTGGTTCCCCTCAGATACCGGGCTAAAAGCAGGACACACACCCTAGTACCACAGAGCTAAGAATCAGAACAGCGATCGGATCCGACGGCCTGCGAGTGATGCCGAAAGGTATACACCCTACCTCATGGAGTTAGGAAAGATGCTGGCGCTGTCCGCCGGCCCGTGGGGATCCATGTGGAACCCGTTAGGCAGGGTGCGGAACGCTGAGCGACTCAGCACGTTCTCTGACCGGCTGCTAGTGATGGAGTTCCGGAGCGGGCTGCCCATGTTATCTGCATGGCCCCGCCCTTCATCCGAGCCGGCTTCCATCCCGGCCTCTGGTCCCTCCTGCTCCACCACTGTGGGGAGCTCCAGTGGCTCTGCTAGCTCTGGGACCTCTCGCGCCCTCTGCTGGATGAGCGGGGTGAGCGGCGCCTCGAAGCTGACGCAGCTGTCCGTTTCGTCCGTCAGCGACAGCACGTCCAGCGAGTCCAAGCTGCTGTAGCAGGTCCCCCGGAGCAGCTCAGATTCCACGATGCGCTCGAATGTGGAGCTGAAGCCGTCCTGGTTCTCCCGTGCCTCCTCCTTCTCGTCCTCCCCATCCTCTGCTTCCACCTCCAGCCGCACCTGCTCCACGATGCGCTCGAACGTGGAGCTGAAGCCGTCCCGGTTCTCCGCCTCTCCCTCGTCCTCCTCCAGCACCTCCAGGTCCACCTCCTCCACAATGCACTCGAAGCGCGAGCTGAAACTGTCCTGGCTATCCTGCGCCCCGTTCACCTGGCACTCCTCCTCCTCATCCTCCTCCTCGTTCTCCTCCACATCCCCGTTCTTCTCCCTGCTGAGACACAGAATGGATCAGAGACAGATCACACACCAGCACATGCAGTGGCGTGCCAAACACTGCACCAGCAAAGGACTGCACTGCTGCTCTAAATACATCTGACAATACCACCTCCTGCCACCAGGGTGTGCTCTAATAAACTTCTCTAAACATAAGCAGGCATCATCATACAACAATGGGGTTTAATATCTGCAGACCTATCAGGATCTCTCAGGCCACGGTCGCACATGTGCAAAGTCTCTTGGTGCACTTCCTGCGCAGGTCCGCTGTCGTCATCCCTCGGTCCGCCCTCCGCATGGGCATCCACTTCATTCCCATCTGTGACGCACATCCTCTCCACTGCCACCTCCAGCTCCTCGCCGCCGCCTGTCGCCCCGTCCACCGTGGTCCGCGAGGGTTCATCCGTGGGCGGCACGGCGTCACGCGTCTCCTGGGTCATGGCACCCGTGGCAGCGGTGCCGCAGTAGGGTGAGCTGTCCGGTGGCAGGTTCCGATCCAGGGCTGGCGAACACGTCCTGTCTGTGGGGGGGGAGGCAAAGGGGACACTGCAGTTTTACATAACGGCTGACCGCGAATCAGTGCAGTGGGAGGACAGAAAAAAATAATGTGTGACTGCGGAGCACAAGAAATGCAGGCCGTGAGGAGTGGATGACCCACATTAGCAGCGTCGGGAAGCAGAGACTCGGGTCACCAGCCACCAGCACCAGCGAGCACGGGGGGGGGGGAGGCAGGCCTGGGGCAGGTCGAGCAGCCCGGAGACGGGAAGCAAACCCCTCCAGCCATCGGCGATGCCGATGACATCATGCTAAGCCGTCGAGTTGACAAGCGGGCCTCAAGAGCCATGGGGAACACAGATAGCCACGGTGGGCAGAGGGTCACTGCACGTCCGTCAGGATCGATCACTGCCGAGCCGCCAGTGGCCGCCAGTCCTGCTCCCAAAGAGCCCCCCCCCCCCATGGTGTGGCAGAGACGCCGGGATCTGATACGTCTGACATCACCACAAAGTGAGCGATCCTGAGCAGCCAGATTACTCTCACATCACTAGGAGTGTGACGTCGGGGGAGGGAGGGGGGGGGCTGCCTTACAGGGACAGAGGGTGTGTGACAACCCAAGGGGAACAGGAGCTCGTAAGGACACGGAGTGAAGTTTCTAAACCGGAGATCTACTGACCTGGGCGGCACCTAACACCTTATTTGGGGAGCGTATGTGATATATTCTGAAGAGCAAGTGCGATTGTACTCACACAGAATTTTAAATGTATCCCTACAGAATAAAGCTCTGTGATTTTCTCAGACTGAGAGCGAGCTGAGACCTGTGTGTGTGTATATATATCGCGGCACTTCTAAAGGAGAAGTCAAAAACACATGTAGGTCTGCTGTCACAGCCAGCCCCGTAACGTCAGGGAGAGCGCCACCTGCAGGCAAAGGTTAGCGACACGTGACTCAGCATGTGTCACACTCGGGTACCGCCCTGCCACCTCTAGATGAGGCATGATTATTGCAACGCTGTTCTATGTCTAATACGTGCAAATCTGACATTTGTATCTGACTTTTGTATCGTGCGCCAAGGTGACCGTCAGGTCTGTGTTTAGTGTTATCGTCCCACTGGAATTGCTGTTTAAACTACTGCAAAACAAAAGCTAACAAAAAATGCTAACAACACATGCTAATGGTGGAACATGGACACTCACGCACACACCGACCCATGGACCAATGCGAAGTGAAAGATAGGAAATGATTAGAACGTCAGCAAGGAAACTGCCCCCATTCGCCTTGACTCTGTCCAGTCATAACAGCATATGAATGTCGCCCTCTTACAGATCTCTGTGCATTCCTACATCTACCTGTCCTTTCTGCACCTACATCTGTTTTTGTGTCTCTCTACATGCACGTCCGCTTCCGTGTATTTCCGCGTGCGCCTGGGATATCCTGATTCTGCCGAGTTCGACGTATCCCTGGGTCAACAAGGGAGGGGCTTGCCTTTCACTTCTTTAACCAATCACAGTCATTATTGTATGACATCACCATTTGGCCATTTTTGTCTCATTTTCACACTCAAAGCTTCCAGCTACTTGCCATAAGGTGGTGCGTGACTCAGCAGGCAAAGCCTCTGTACTTGTTGTCAGAAGGTTGCTGGTTCAAGCCTTGCTGTTATTATTATTATTATTATCGTCATCATTATGAAATGAAGACACTCCCTTACATTGCTCCATACAGCCTTTGCAGGTAAGCATGTTGCTATGTTTGTATCTATGACATGTTCCTTAACAAATAGCATACAGATACTTCACAAATCTGTGCACCTTGCGCTTATCAGAAAACACCAGTTTTATTAAATGTGGTGATGTCATATAATGTGTCAGACTGTGATTGGTTAAAGAAATGAAACGCAAGCCACTCCCTTGATGACCCAGGGATATGTAGAACTCGGCTAAATCAAGACGTGCTCTGTGTATGTATCTTTGTGTACATCTGTGTATATGTCTGTCTGTGTATTTTTGAATGCGTCAATAAACGTCTGTGTAGGACTGTATATGTCCATGTACATACACTGTATCAACAAAAGTATTGGGACCCCTGGCCATTACACCTACAGGAACTTTTATGACATCACATTCTAAATCTAAAGGCATCAATATGGAGCTGGTCCCCACTTTGCAGCTATAACAGCTGCCACTCTTCTTTCCACAAGATTTTGGAGTCTGTCTGTGGGATTTTTTGCCAATTCATCCAGAAGAGCATTTGTGAAGTCAGGTACTGATGTTGGACATGAAGGCCTGGCTCACAATCTCAGTTCTAGTTCAGCCCAAAGGTGTTTGATGGGGTGGAGGTCAGGGCTCTGTGCAGGCCAGTCAAGCTCTTCCACACCAAACACACCCAACCACGTCTTTATGGACCTTGCACTGTGCACTGGGGCACAGTCATGCTGGGACAGAAAAGGGCCGCCTTCCCCAAACTGTTCCCACAAAGTTGGAAGCATAGATTTGTCCACATTTTCTTGGTATGCTGAAGTATTACCTTCACTGGAACTGGGGCCCAGCTCAACTCCTGAAAAACAACCCCATACCATTACCCCTCCTCCACCAAATGCAGTCAGGCAGGTAACGTTCTCCTGGCATCCGCCAAACCCGGACTCATCCATCAGACTGCCACATAGAGAAGCGTGATTTGCCACCCCACAGAACAGGATTCCACTGCTCCAGAGTCCAGTGGCGGCGTGCTTTATACAACTCCATCCAACGCTTGTCATTGTGCTTGGTGATGTGAGGCTTGCATGCAGCTGCTTGGCCATGGAAGCCCATTCCATGAAGCTCCCGGCGCACAGTGTTTAATGCCAGAGGAAGTTTGGAACTCTGCAGTAACCAATTCAATAGATCATTGGTGACTTTTACGCACTATGCACCTCAGTACTTGGAGACCCTGCTGTGTTGCTCGATGAGGTTTCCCACTTCGTGGCCGAGTTTCCATTTTGCAATAATACCACTTACAGCAGGGAAGAAATTTCACTAACCGACTTATTGCAAAGGTGGCATCCTATGCCATTGTCACGCTTGAATTCACTGAGCTCTTCAGAACGACCCATTCTTTCACAAACGTTTGTAAACCTGAAAGCATGGCTGAGTGCTTGATTTTATACACCTGCGGCAATGGGTCTGAATGAAACACCTGTGATTGAAAGGTGTGTCCCAATACTTTTGTCCATATGGTATATCTGTGTACATCTGTATATATGTCTGTCTGCATATGTTCAAATGTGTTTGTGTACATCTGTGTAGGTCTGTGTAGATCTGTGTAGGTCTGTATATATGCCTGTCTGTTTCCGTATCTGCATCTGTGAAAATGTATGTATTTGTGTTTGACTGTTTATGCAAATGCGTCTGTGGCTGTGAATCTGTCTGTGTTTAACTGTTTGTATCTGGACGTCTGTGTGTATATATACACCAATGAGCTAAGACATTATGAGCAGCCCCATGTGAAGCGAATAATGTTGACTATCTTGTGAAAAAGGTGTGTGTCGATGTCTGGGATATATTAGACGGTAAGGTAACATTTGGTACTGATAATCCGGGAGAAATGGGCAGGCATAAATATCTGAGTGACTATGACAAGGGCTAAATCATTATGGTCAGACGACTGGGTCAGAGCATCTCTGAAAAGGCAAGGCCTGTGGGACGCTGACAGCCAGCCGTGGTGAGAACCGACTGAGAGCTGTATGAGGACGGAAAAGGCATGAACTGCTGACAGGGTATTGGGCATTCAAGATGCAAGATGTAAACAAAGGTTTTCCCACATGATACAAACCAACAGATGGGCTACTGCGGCACGAACGACAGATAATTTTGATGATAATCACAGGAGTAATTTATCACGATACACAGTGCAGTGGACACCGATGTGTATAGGGCTGCGTAGCCGCGGATCGGACATCCCACAGACGCTCGACATGGCCGTCCACGCGATGGCCCTTCTCAGTCACTCAGACCTCCGCCCATTTCTTCTGCTTTCAACATGTCGACGACGAGTAGCGAATGTTAGGTTGTTGTCTGATATATCCCAGTCCTTGACACACACTGTTTTTACTAGATGGCCAACATTATACGCTTCACGTGGGGGTGATCATAATGTTCTGGCTCACCGGTGTGTGTGTGTGCGTGTGACCAAATGTCTCCCACAATGTAATGAAAACCTGTTTTTTTATGTTGTGGGGACCACTTTTCGGGTCCCCACAAAGATCTGTAAATGCAACCAAAAAAGTAAAAATGCAAAAAGTCTCATATTTAGTTTGGTTACTTATGGTTAAGGTTAGGGTTAGGTAGGGGTTACGGTCCTCATGTTGGGATTAGAGGTTTCCACTTAGAAATGAATGGAGAGTCCCCACAAAGATTTAACTACAAACCAATGTGTGTGTTTGTGCATGTGTGTGTGTGTGTGTGTGTGTGTGCGTGAGTGCATGTGTATCTGTGGATTATGTTTATATTACATTGTAGGGACCAAATGTTCCCCACAATGTAATAAAAACCTGTAATTTTGATGTTGTGGGGACCATTTTTCAGACAAACTGACAGAGTGAGTGCACATTCATTACAGTGACACAACCACAAAAATTATACATACATAATACATATAGCAGCAACTTTCGTCACAGTAAGGAAAGTGTAGAATTGCAAAGTAACTGGGTAACTGAATGACCTCCTATGTGACAAAGAAATGGAGACAGAGCTGATTCTGCTGCAGGATCATAGCTGCACAGAGTTCAGAGAGACTCGGGTATCTCCGTTCCTGTCATTCTGTCGCCCTCCACGGGGATTTTCGCCCTGCTTACCGAAGCATGTTTAAGGTCCTGCCTGGTATCGATCCCATTCCATGAGATTTACAAAAGCCAAATTATCTAAGGCGGCGTTTCCCAACCCGGTCCTTCACAGTCAGTCCACATTTTTGCTCCCTCAGAGCTGGGAGGGAGCAAAAACGTGGACTGTCTGTGGGTCCCTGAGGACCGGATTGGAAAACACTGATTTAGGGTGCGCGAATCAGGACGCCGGCTCCCTGGAGCGAGGAGCAGTGCGTGCCGCTGCTCCCACTGAGGGAGGTGGAAGGAGGAAAGCAGGGAGCGAACACAAAGGCGCCAGCACAATGGGAGTCAATCACAGAGAAGGCAGAGTCCCTGCCAAAACCATTCCTCTGCTGGAGGGGCACAATGCTACAAGAATCACCGAAGATCCATATGTTCTTGCTCAACTGGGCATAAATACATGTTAACAAAACAGTTAGAACCCCTGGCGTGGGGCCAGGAAGCGCGTCTCCAGACACCCGTGTGGAAAAAAAAAGCGAAGTCTGGAAAAAACCCAACGCCACGTCACTGCCGAATGCCCGCGTACAAAACAAGTCGAAGTTAGGATTCTGCCACGAAAGCCGGGTTCCGCACAAACAGAAGGCGGGCTGCCCCTGCTGGCACATTCAAACAGATCCTGGCGCAATGCTGAGCGCAATAGTTCCCCAAGCGGCCGAAGAACGTTGCTCTGCATCGAATGGGCGCGTAGATTTACCTCCTCGGCACAACTCAGCCCCCATTAAAGAACAGACAAGATGAGATCAATTAAGAGGCGCCATAAAAATAACAACATGTGCAACCACTTCTCTGACTGAGTAAACAGGATATAAATTGTACAGGCCTTCCTCATTTCAGTCGAACGAAACAATCACACTTTGTATTCTGCACTTGACTCAAAGGCATGGCATACAATAAGCTGTCAGAAATACTCTCTGAAACATTTGTACTATTAACATTCAGCCACGCAAGCCAAATTGTTGTCAAAAGTGTGGCACAGGGACCTCATTATTTAAACCCGAAGCTGAAGGCCAAGGTTTTAATACCAGGCTGGTGTGTTGAGGGTTTACGCTCAGTTTCAGCTCATGAGCTGAACTGCTGAAGGGAGGCATCTCTAAGACCCAACTGGAAGTGGTTCTGCCCTCTAAGCCGAGCAGAGCTGCGTCAGGCTCGTGATATCTCCTAATTAAGTGCTTCATGCGGCACGTGCTGCAGAGGCAAGCAGCTCACGACGCTAATGGAGACAACGCTCTGCCCAAAAAAACACAGGGTGGCATCTCCACCTCTGCTCAATAGCCTGATAGCCGACCATCCTCTCAGGTAACAGCGACACTTTGGGTACAGCACAAGGAAAAACGTACTTCACAAAACATCTAGCGAAATATACTCTGGGATTTTCATATCATGCTCTTTTACCGAATACTGCTTTCACATAAGCTTGTGTTTTCTTCTAACAGTCAAATTTACTTTGACTTAAGCATAACATACCACAGACGCTTCTCTACTTACGAACGAGTTAACGGCCAATTGTAACTTGAAATGTTTGTAAGTCATTATTCAACGTCATTTTAAGGGTATACACAAGTACAAAGAACTAGGATGCTGGGAGTCCGCACGCTACGCTGCTGCGCGGCGGGAGTAGCGGCCAGAAGTCGTACCAGGTGGAATTGGCACATAGAAAAAAAAATTGATGTTGCGGACAGGAAACGGGAGCCCAATGAACACAATTTCGACATACAGTCCTCTTCGTTCATATGTCTGAAAGTTCATAAGTTGAAAGTTCATAAGTAGAGGAGTGTCTGTACATACTATATATAACATACTAAATACTACAAACATGTCACACTCCTCTATTATTCCTCAATGAAGCCTTCAGCTCATGTCCGATTTACTTCGATATTCTGATACATATTTATCTTTCCTAACTTTTATTGTTCATTTTTATCTATTTTTTAATCCTTCCCACATTGTGTTTTTGGACAATGCGGTTAGGAGATCAATAAAGCTGTACCTTCATCTAATCTTAATAACTTCTCTTCATATGGCTGTAAGACAGCGGATCAGGCTGCCAATTTGGACTGGGGAGGGACCCGCTGGCCAACACACAATGGCATCCATCCGCTCCGCTGGGCGAGACATACGGGAGGCACCTAGAGGTCCCTCTTGGAGCGGCAGAGTTCTCTAGTGCTGAGTCACACATGCCCTGGCACATGACTTGGGGGAATGAGGTCTGCCACCAAAGACGAGGAGGATGTCACAGTAGAGGCTACGTTTACCCGCAACGCCCATCTCACACCGCCTTCTCCAAGTCGGCACGGAGTGTTCTGAAAGAACGCCAGGGGACACACTGATAAACTCTTTACCCCTCGCCGATGACACAGCTAAAAGTCTGCAAGTCAACATCTCCAGGCATTGAAGGCTCCCTAAATCGCGTTTGCTTGATTTCTCATCCCCTTCTGCCCTGACTGTAATGTGGAAGAGGAAGGTGGATGGATGGATATCATATTTATGCCAGAATCACACTCTCCGTGAATTTCTGTCTATCTCTCTGTGGCTTCAGAAACCGTGTGTAGTTTGCCTGTAGGAAATGCTGGATTCACCAAAGATACGCTTGTATGATACACTGTAACCACAGTGTGTAATGTAGCATGTCAATCATCTGTATGACCTACTAACCCTGTTCTTTAGAAAATCTTCTATATTCAAACGTGCACCGCAGGAACCCTGCATACTAAACACCTAAAACACAAGGATGCTGCGCATCGCGGCGTTTATAATTGCCTGAAAGAAGCAAGCTTTACAAGCACACAAGCATGCGTGTAATTTTTACATGGCTACATTAACCCCTGAAAGACTGCCCTAAACATTGTGCCAAAACGTCTATAAACAGCAAGGGATATTATCTCATAACAATGGGTTGTTATAAAAGGTGACTTGCATTGATATAAATGCTGACCTGTCACAAATCCCAATAATGAGCAACTTTAAAGCACCCGAAACAGAGTGAATTGCTCAGCAATGGAAACCCACGGCTCGTTAATCATCTGTCTGTCACATTTACAGCTTCAAGGTCGAACGTTGCCATATATCGTGCCACATAACCTAAAGTGACATCATTTGAAATGTACGACAGATTTTATAAGCGGTGAAATGTTACATAAAATCCACATGAGCCAGTAAACACACTAAACGCACGTTTTATGACGAATAGAAAAAAAAATGGGCTTATATTTTTTCCCGGGGTGTCTAGTCTGGCGCAGAGCTGTCTAGGCGTCTGACGCCTTTATTTCGGCTGAATCCATTGACGATGCCCCCTCCTGGAAAGGGTTAACAATAGGCTAAAGAATGAGCCTTATCAAACGCTTTCATTGTGTCTGCATTTCACATGTTCGAGCTCAACCGTCATTATCATCAGATTATGTTAGACGCTTAAATAATATAATTAAGATAATAACGGGGGGATGGATAATGACGGGGGTTTTGTTCAGGATTCGGTACCCAATGCCGCACCTGTTCCAGTCTAATCTTTGGGCTTTAAATAAGTGGACCGGACTTTGACATGTCACTCACACTGCGTGACACCCCACCGGTACCAGTAAGATGTAACGACTTTAGAGGAAAACACACACACACACGCGCTCTCTCTCTCACACACACACCCGTACAGCTGACTAGAACCGAGATGCAGCCATATTTCCTCAGCCTCCCAGTACAGTCACCATGACAACAGGATGATTGGGAGACACTGCTCGCGCTGCCCGCTGCTTTCTTCCTTCCGAAATAGACCTTGCTTTCCAAATGCGAGCTGCCCTGATAGAAGGGTTAAAGATTTCACATAAGAGTAAATATTCGGCGTGAACACAGGATAGTGTGTGTGTGCAAAATGCATATATCTTTCCAGCTATTCGTTGATGTGTAGGTCTGGTTTTAAGCGATCATTTAAAAATGCATGTCTTAATCATTCGTCACCGACAGACACTAAATAGCAGTTAAGATATGCAAGATTTAAAGAAAAAGGCCTTAAAATGCATCTTATAAAGCCTTGCCGGGTTTGCAATAGAGCGCAGTTAATGATATAGACCGGGTGCTGTGCAGAATACCTGTGCAGAAGAAAGGGTTCTTCCACGCATACACCTATAGTATACATACAAACGTATCTTCAATAAGTGGTAAGTACAATGCATAATGTACAGTGTATTGCACTTACCAAAAGAAATATGTTCAAACTCGAGGAAAGGAGAAGCCAGGTTTGAAGCGCACGTTCCCTTTCTCCCTGTCCATTCATGCAAAAGAAAAGATCGAGACTTCTCGTGCGACAGTCGTCCCGTCCGCTCGATTTACTCCAAGCGATCCCTTGATTTATGCCGTTCGGCCGAGCTTCGGCCACCGCTCGCTGACTGGGCACGCGGGAGGTCCAGCCGGCGAGAAGCGGCAACCCGACTGCGCGAGCGTGCTGTCTGTGTGTGCGCGAGTTCGGCGGCTGTCGCGCCGTCCTCCCTCACTTTGCGCCGACGCGAGCCAAGATGCATCGTAAGCACGAGGCTTTTCCACGCATTTCGCATGCTATTCTAGTATTCAGCGGAATAATATGAAATAGTGGAATTTTTATAATGACGGCCATTTGTTGTGTTTGCAGCCAATCATGGAGCTGAGCCGCTTATTGTCGGTTAAATAATAGCACGAAGACTTAATTGTCCATAATTTGTGGTATTACATGATTATTTATGCAGGTGACATATTTCAATAATCGAAATCTTTCTGTGTGGTCTGTGCATGAGATGTTAGTTATTATGAGCGTCATTAGATCGATTTTAAGTGGAAGAGGTAAATTAATGAAACTGATGGGTTGACAATCTGTTATTCATCTTCATTTGGTTAGAACTTGGTAGGTGGGGTTGTGAAGTGGATGCACAGAGATAACTGAAGGATTTAATTTTGGAAAACTGGGGTACCTGGGGGAAATGAGTATGTTAGGGGTCTGCCTCAATGTAAATCATCCACACCCATGAAAGTACCATGGATACAGTAGGTTGAGCATTTTGATACTATCACCCAAACCGGGTTTCTCAGCCTTCTGTCACGTAACCATGACCACGTCCTCACACATAATCGCTCTGCTGTGACCTCACAAAATTAATCTTGCGTCCTTAGACCCCCTCCGGTGCCTGACCTCACTGAACACCGTATGCTGCTAAACAGCAGCCATGTCCAACCCAGTGTCCCCTTTGGCATCAAGAGTCACCTTGCAGAAAGGTCAGACACGGGTGAAAGTGCCGCCATGATAGCCAAACGAACAGAGGAGCTCCAGCCCGGAACATTCTGCCCGGAGTGAGGGGGAAGCCCATCTAGGCTGCGTGACAGACGGCGTCGGCCTTGTTTACTTATTCATTACCCTTCTAGGCTGCCCCCACCGTGGGACATAAGACTGCCTCTCCCTTGGGGAGCGCCTGAAGAGAAGGGAGACGGGAATGGCATGTCCAATGAGCCGCTGCATTCAACCTCAGAGCTCCAGGACTGGGTCTGATCGTGGCAGGAAAATGGGGGAATGAGGCGCAGAGACTGGGGGGAGGGGGATGAGTGCCGGACGAATGGGATGGAGAATTTAATGGGGAGACCGGAGACAAGGCAGAGCACAAAAAAACAGGCCAACGAGGAACCGAATGATGAAGGTAGGTTTTCCTACGAAAGCCAAAGCTAATCACCAACAGGGCCTAAAGCTTGGCAGGTTAATGCGAGGATAATATCGTCTGCAAGATTCTGTTCCTCAGAGTAACGCAGCGCGATAGGACGAGCCAATGTGCGGGTGACCTTCTAAGACTGACCTAACAAAACAAAGGCAGCGCTGTACCGTGTATTACCCAGAAGGCCCAGAATGCCAAGCCTGTTCTGTTTTCAATGTTTTCATCTACAGCATCTCCAGTGTCGGTTTGTGTGTGCATATCTGCACGCGCTCAGGTAAAATTGCTCTGTTGACAGGGCCGAAAGTGCTAAATTTGAACCTAATTGCTTTATATTTGCTGTTTTCATTCCATATGGCTTTGGGCCCTCAGGTTTTGTACAACATGTAGCTGGGATACTATTTGTAGTGTTAAGCATCAAAATCCCCCAGCCGTCAATAATGCCCTTCAGCGATAGTGATCTAGTTCAACTGGTTTTCTATATTTTATAGAATAAATTCTTTTTGTGTGCATTTCCTGGTTGTTATACATATATCAGGCCCTATTTTTACTACTGAACCATGGAAAAAAAGACACAAAAAATAGCTGCATAGAAACCATGCAGGATATACAAGTGTTTATAAAAAGAGGCAAAAAAAATGTTTTAGTCAGAGGTGTCTGTTCAGCAGCAGAAAGGCTGGTATGTTTTTCTGCCAACGCTTCCCCCTGCTGAAGCAGAAACAGGCATAGGTGGACCTACTTTCTCATGCCTTTCTCACGTCCTGACCCCAAATCCGTCCCATGTGGCTCTCTGAACAAAATCAGTCAGCAGTAAGGCCGGGGAGATGAGATTCCCATCCGAAAAGTTAGTTTATGGGAGTATTCAGGGACTGTTTAAAGACTATTTATACACTGCTCAAAAATACAAGTATCTTTAGTGATTTGACCTTGCGGCTAATCTCCTGTTGTAGCTGCAACAATACCACCTGACGCCCTAAAAAAAGATGCATACATCATTTTCAGTGTTTTCATTAATAGACTTTACCAGCAACACCATGCTGACCAACAATCAGCAGGCTTTAATCTCCAATTGTATCTGCCAGGCCAACAACCAAGCCTGTAGCATACACTGCACACATATCCTGATTTACAAACACGCATCATCAGAGGCATCAAAGGGGCAAAGATTCTGGGACATATTCAGGGTCCCAGCACTTATAGTCTTTCTGAATTACTGAAACACTACATTTCATTCTTGGAACAAAACTGCCAACTGCCAAAACTCATTTATTGAATTAGTCACTTGTTTGGTGAAACACAATTTGCAGATCTGAGTCACCCTTTTTGCAAAACTCTAAACACATTATCTTTCAAGACACATTTTGCACTGTGGTGAACTTCAACGCAAAATAGGAAACAGTCCACAAAAGTTAAGCACAGCCAACACACGGTAGTTGCCATTTAAACACAATGACTGTTTCTAGACATGAGAAGAAGCCAAAGAGTGACTAGAAGATAGAATACATGCTGGAGGAGAGTGCAAGTACCATAGGTGGCTTGAATTTCGACGTCAAGGTACAAACGGGTCACACAGCGGATTTTTCCCGCATTGCCCAGCAAGGGAGAGCATTTTCTGTGATGTAGACAAAGTTTTCTGTCCTGACGCAGCCCAGAGACATGGTGATGTGGCAGAGTGAATATTCTTCCGTGACTGGGGCTTGACATTTTACTGTAATATGCCTTTAATTTGGATTTTATACTTTGTCCTTTACAGTAACCTTTCTGGAGTACTGAATACTGCAAACATCACATAACAGTTTATTATGATTGTACACAAGCATTTTTTTTTACTATAGTCTTTTGCTTTTCTAATTTTACAGCTCAACATGCAAAAGACCACATCCACAGTAAACATTTCTCTACATGCCAGCAACAGATTTGACTGGTAGTGTTCAATATGCAAAATTATATATAAAATTGGGTAGGCAGGGGGGCATTTTGTCTGGGGGGCCCAAAATTTCACACATGAAAATAACATCAGCAGAGTCCTGAAAACATGGATTCATTATCTCATCCACAAGGATTCATTATCTTTACATTATACATGTAACTAGTAATAATCACACTGCATTGATTTGAGTTACCGCTCCCTATTTGACAGATATGCTGAGAGTTTATGTTCTGCGATAAACACATTTGTTTATCTCTGATATTAGCTGTTATTTTGCTGTATAAATGTTACATAGATGAGGAGACCAGAACATGCCCTGTCATGGATCTCGTCCGTCCCTAAGACCACACTGCGTTTGCGTGCGTGTGTGTGTGTGTGTGAGTGTTTTTAGTCATTGTTGATGCATCTGCTGACAAGTGCCATTGGCAGAGTGCAAAGAAGGCTGAGGGGGAATCGGGGGTGGGGGAGGCGGGGGGCAGGGGATCAGAGGTGGGGGGGGGGGCAGCTGTTTCACAGATGCAGCGTGACGGCTTGATTTGTCCTTTTTTTTTTACTGAAATAGAAACAAAACGGAGAGACAGATAGAGTGGGCGAGAAAGAGAGAGAGAGAGAGAGAATAAGGGAGAGGACTGAGAACTGTAAACCTGCCAGCTGGGGCTTAAAGGAGCTGCATAAATGCCTGCATATCCGGCCGCCGTCCCTCTGGAGTGTGCAGGCTGTCATGTTGGCAGGGAAGTGATTCTGAAGGATGAGGAGCTGCTGCCAGGGCCGGAGAGAGACCCGCTGGGCCCGTAAATGCCACCCTGTCAGCGCCCTGGATGTGGCCTGGTTCCTGTCCCCTTCCCGCGTCTACAGTCTGGAGTAAAACCATCACAATTAAATGCTGAATGAGAAAGATTAGCGCATGATTACGATATCTCTTCTCTTTCAGTAACAATGCATATGTGCAGTACTGTGTTGGGGAGGAATTGGGGTTCTCAGAATAACTAAAACGTGTCAGATATTAACCTTGTTCTTGAGTAGGATTTTTTGCTCAACGGATATGTGATATTTTCCTTTTTACCATTTGACCACCAGATGGTGCTACATGCTTACAAAAGTAACATACTATGTAGAAGCACTCGCAGTGTCAAGACAATGCAATTGAGTGTCATTTATTTCTTTAGCCTGCTTAAGTTCAGTTTTATATGCAAAAATATAAGAGCAATTTGTATTGATATTATAATGACATTATATACATTTGTTTTTTCACTTTAACATTTAACGGCTAATTAAGTGATACAAGATACTCATTGAATGGCCCTCTGGCGCACTCTGGCGGCTGGAACAAATATTTTGCTTTTTGCTTTCCCCTCCCTATTATCTTTGTTATTATAAACAACAAATGACTCTTATTAACTAGACATCCGACCTCCTGACTGTTATACGCTAGCCATTCAATTAAACGTTAAATCATTTGAGTGTCCTTTCTGAAGCCCTTTTTACTTCTGATACCAATGCTTTGCAAATTTGTGGTTAAAATCTAGCTCTTAAGCTGTTAGATCGATAGGGCTTCCGACTGAAAACAATTAATGACATTGGTAGACATTCTTTTTTTTAAAAAAAGCATAGTTACCTGGAGAAAATCTATGAAATTGTGAATATTTTTGCTACTTACGGGGGCTTACATTCGGCAGATCACCACAAAGCAGGACGGCAGGAAGTTCTTACGAAATTATCCTTAACGACGACTTCGCTTGAACTTGGCAGTTGGAGATAATACTTATACAAACAAATCAGGGCCCTGTGCAGACTGAGCTGAGCTTGCTGGAGAGTTCAACCAAAAACAGTCCCACCTAGGCCCCGTTTGTTGTGAACATGTGGGACCCACCACAGCGAGTGCCGACATTTTACTGTCCACTGTCGTTTTGTGTCATTTCAAAATCAAGAGGCTGCGCTGCTTCATCTGTTTGCCATGAAACTGACAGACAATGAGACAGAAGTCTATCAAATGAGATTTAATAGAGAGGGACCAAGCAAAATATGCTTTTTAGTATTATTGTTATTTTTCTGGTAAGGGTACCCATGTGTTATGCATCTAATATTGATTCCAAGGAAGCAGCGGAGGTGGGGCTCGCATGGCTGGTTTTTCGGGTATTTCTCCTCCGGATCCTCCCCCCTCTTACGGTAAGGCCTGTCTCTCCTCTCTGCTATGTGCCCGGTCATGTTCTCTCCCTGTTTCGATAACAGCGGCAAACATGCGTGCTATGAAGCCCCCCTCACTCGCTGCCATGTTTTTCATAATCATGTTGTTTTTTGTACTTTCACTCTCAGGAGTTTAAGGCCAGTTTGGGCAGCTTTATTGACGCAACATAAGACGCATCAATCAGCAGGCAGATAAGAAGCGGCCGCCCAGGGGGACAAAGAAAGCATTAATAAAGATCAAGACGGAATATTAATTAGAAGCCACTGGGAGCCTAAACGGCGGCCCTGGGGAGGAACTGGGCCGCATCCTGCGCTTGGAGCTCAATGAACCCCATATTCCTCTGTCCACTTGGGGGTAAATGTGTCTGCTTCTTGAAAAAACAACATGGTGGTACACAGGCACATTCGCTTTTTTGGGGCTTTGGATACATGTCCCCGAGGGGGTGCGGTTTTGTGTTTCTTCTTTCATGGAGTTATTTACCAGATGCCTTGCCTCAGCACGAGTAAAGACACCGGGCGTCAGATCAAAGTAGCTCCAGGAGCTGGATCTGACACGTCTGGAATTTTGCGGTCGCGAGATCGAAGCTCGTCAAAAACAAGGAGCCAGAATTTAATTCTCTTCATGGCAAATTAAAAATAATAGCCGTCTGTACCTTTTCTTGAAACTATTGGATTTTATCTGTATCTCTTGAGCTTGGGTTTGATTCTGCATTTGTCCAACGTTCATTTGGTTCCTCTGAGCAACTCTAACACTTTTGTACCATAAAGTGAAGCATCTGTCCCTCTTTCTCTCTCTCTTGCTCGCCCTCGCCTTGCACCCCTCCCCCTCTCACCACCACTCCCCAATGGAGTCGTGCCCCTCGTTCTCCCCCTCTCCAGACGCCCATAGACACATTCTCTTTCTCCCGTTCTGTGTTCAACAGGATGCTGCCAGTTTGGTGCTGTTTACATACCGACTTTTTCTGCTATTTCGGAGAAGCGCTGCTTTCTGCGTGATTTTTTTTTGTCTGAGGGGGAGAGTATGAGTTTGTACATGTGTTTGTGAGTGTGTGTGAGAGAGAGGGAGAGAGAGAGAGAGAGAGAGAGAGGTGGGGTAGAGAGAAAGAGAACAGGAGAGAAAGCCGACGGAATGCTGTGATGTCACAAGTTGAGTCAGATACAAAGGCACGAGGACACATCTGCACTCCTACTCTCTGGGAGATCACGCTACAGGCTCCAGGGCTTCTGCCAAACATCTGCACTCCCCTGTAAGTACCCCCCACTTTCAGAGCTCCCTTTTCCTCTTCTTTCTTTCTTTGTGACTGCAATCCACTTCCACAACTCTCCGTTTCCCAGTCTTCCAGTTAATGAATATGCAATGAGCTCAACTCACTTTTACAACTCTTAAATTTGAAGGCAGTCCAAACAGAAATTCTTAGACTGGCACAAGGTTCAGGTTTCAAATCTCTGTCCCTCTCTCCGGTGAGCTTGGTAATCATCGGGATTAACCACGAACAGATTTGCTGACTGGCAGTATGACAAGCTCTCAGAGTGTCCAACTTCTTCTTTGTCTTGGAGTTTAGTGCCATTTTTTTTTGTGACCGTGGCAGCTGCCGTGACTTTAATCACCAAACCGGGTGGTGCTGTGGGACTCGGAGAGGCATATTTCTCACTTAGTCCTTTGGTGCGAGGCTGAATGAAGCAGGACTGCCCTCTGGTGAAGTGCACTGCACTCTGTTGTGAGTCCCAGCAGAAGCCACTGCTTCATTGCACCCCCAGAGCAGGCAGAAAGGAGCGATCTGTAGGCTGACCCAGGCGGAGGGAGGGACGAGAGTCCCATGACAAATACTAGACCGAGACTCTTTACTTTCATTTACTGGACTGCCTCTCATCACAAAGGAAAAAAGCAGGGGTGATGTGTGCAACTCAAGATGTGATGTTCGTCTTCCTTGCGCAGGCATGCAGCTGATGCGTGCAGTGTGACAGGCGGACAGGACCGCGGCATGAACAGGGCCACACCGGGACGGTAGAGGGAGCAGAGCGCTTGGCCGGGTCGCCGTCCCGCTGCGACACGAAGCCGCCTTACAGCTGACGGACTGACTGACTAGCACCTGGGGCTGAGCGGAGCTTCCCCCCGACGGCTGCCAAAATGCTGCATCAGATCCTGAAGGACATGTACATCGATCCAGATGTCCTGGAGGCCCTGAACGAGGAGCAGAAGAAAATCCTGTTCCTGAAGATGAGGCAGGAACAAGTCCGACGGTGGAAGGAGAGGGAAGAAAAGCTGGAAAGCGAAGGCGCTGGGGATCAGATGCCAAAATCGAAGAAAGGTACAGTTTGGGCTGCTGCTTCTGAAACTGATGCCATAGTCAGATCTAATTGATTCCACTTCTGGGGGGCTGTCAGATTTTGCTGCATCTTCGGTGTGTCACCAGCGTGTCACGATGGCCTTTTAGAGCTTACAGCATAAGATTACCGTGGGGACTGTGCTTGATGTCACTCTGGGTTGATTAAGGTCATGGGTGATGTCATGATGGAGGTATACATTAAGCTTAATTCAGTCGGCTATGTATTTGTGGTCGCTTTTGTTCTCACGGCCCATTGTAGGCCTACGTGGGCCACCTGTGCTTCACATAATGACGTGGTGCAGTGATCACCTGAGCAGCCCGGTGACATGTATCATGCGCTCTGGATAACTAACCAATCAGGGTGAGCCATCGCTTAGACCAATTAGGATTCTCTGCATCTCTACAAACAGACTCCGCCAAGCCTTTGACGATGGTGATCAGCTGTACGCAAACTGCACGTCCCAGTAACCAACCGCGTGCTAGGCCGACACAGCTGGGATAAAAACGCCAAGCACTGACAGGAAATGCCTGGCACTTTCTAAATAGGGACTTTATTTCTGAGAGTTAAACATGAGACTGGACTTTTTAACTAGTGGAAATGCCTCATTCCATAAATGCCATTGCCGCTGCATGTGAGGTCCGGCAAAAGTGGGTAGATGGCAGATACCATACCTACCAGAGATCCATCATGATTTGGAAGCTGTGATGTGGCTCTCAGGAGACCAAAGTCCCAGGCTGATCTTCTTCTTACAGCAAGGCTGGGGAACCTGATCCATGGAGGGCCGGTGTGGGCCCGGGTTTTTGGGATGGCCTATCAATCAGCCAATAATAAAGCAGCAGTTCTCAACTCCAGTCCAGGGGACCCACTGTCATTGGCTGATTGAGGGGCCACCCCCAAAACCAGCACCCACACCCGCCCTCCGTGGATCAGGTTCCCCAGCCCTGTCTTACAGCCTCATAAGGAGCTTTGTTTGGGTGTTTGTGAGCAGTGACGGCAGTGCCAAGAGCACGGGGAGATTAGAAAGGAGGAAATGACCAGAGAAGTCTTAAGGAAACAGGAGAACACTGGACTTTCGGTACAGACCAGACAGGGGGGGCATGTATGATCCAGGAGAGCTTATTCTTGAGGGGGGGTGCCTGAAAGTTGGCTCAGCCCTGCCTTTCTGCATTCTCTCTTGACAGCCTGTCTGCTTATGGGGTTTGGCTCTGTTATCACCCAGGGCTAAGCGCTCTCAGGGTGTGCAGGGGAGAGAGCAAAGTCCAGGCCTCCCCTCTGCAGAGACCTCAGGCCGCGCAGTGCTGGGAGCTCCATCCAGACACATGGCTCTATTGTGGAGACAATGGGAGCACCAGCAGCACGTGCTACAGATGGCTAATTCAGGGCAGCGGGCGCATCGCAGCCGGATGGGGCGGGGGGGTCTGTCTCGGCTTGGCTGATGACAATGCACTTATTATTAAATGGGAATGTCAACTGGCGAGGAGGAACAGGCAACTCTGTATTCCCAGAGCAACAGCGCAGCTGCTCCCAGACGTCAATTGTTAAGGTTTTTCTTGTAGTACCCTGCTGTTACACAGCTGTCTCTCCCAGGTAAAACCTCACTGCTATAGGGCTGTCTTACCCTGGTAAAACCCCACTGCTACAGGGTTGTCTTGCCCTGGTAAAACCCCACTGTTTCAGGGCTGTCTTACCCTGGGAAAACCCCACTGCTACAGGGTTGTCTTGCCCTGGTAAAACCCCACTGTTTCAGGGCTGTCTTACCCTAGTAAAACCCCACT